AGTAACTAGTTATGTGTGTTAAGATAGTTAGCTAACTAGCTATGGCGAGAGATACTAGCTAGTTAACTTAAGATAGACACAGTGTGAAAACATCATATAAGCAATAGGATCGTAAAAGAATGGAGCAAACGCGGCTGCGTTTACCAGGACGTTGACCAGGAGGATATACGATGCATGTCTGGTGCAATGTTCACGTCGAGGAAAACGCAACAAAGCACAGTACGCCCACTACGCAAACAAATGCATGGTTTGCATTTTGTTGCATGTGCTTGCAGGTTTGCAACTTTCGCCCTTTCCTGGTGTTCACACTGTCTCGAAAACGCAACTCTCCTGGCCCTGGCCCTGTCCCCGGGCCCTGGCGCACAAAAACGCATGTCATCTACATTTATCCGCTTTCTGCCAACTGAGATGAGTCCAGCTGTTTAAGGGGGGTGGTGCTCATAATGGCCTACACAGTGGCATGCATATACCGGCGCGAAACACTGATTCCGAAGCGCAAGTTCAAACAGCTGCTAAACCTCAGGCCTTGCTCAGGGCCTCCTCGCGCTGCACGACACCGCGCTCGTCCAGGTCGCGACCTTCTGGCCCCCTAAAGATTTATGTCCACCTTTGTAGTCCCTCTGACCGATTTTCACTACTACCTCACGGTCTCTGAGAATACCGAACCGACTCCCGTCTCTCACCGATTCGATGCTTTGCGACGGTGGCCTACAACTACCTTTCGCCGACCTGGAGTTCAACTTGCGCGAGAGTCGGAAGCTCAGGTAGCAACTCAGACAGATCCAGCCAGCAAGTCCTGCTGCTGCAATCCTGCACAGGTGCCCTTCATCGCCCAGGGACTTTGAGGCTTCTGGGCACAATGGCAGTGAGGATCCTACTCATCTTCCAACATTCATGGTCAAGACGAAATGTTCTGAAGTAGCCTCTACCAGTAAGATGTTGCCTTCAACATTGCCAACCTCTATGATGTTACTTCGAATGTAGCACGGGGGTGCACTCACGAGAATCGAGACCGTGCAAGTGCTACGCTCTTGGGCGCCAGACAACCCTCGCGAATATCATGCTGCAGACTTCGGCAACTTCCACAATGGTGAAAGGATGGACTCGATTGTGGCACGGTGCAGCACTATGACAGGGCACAGTCGGTTTGTGTGTGTGTCTATCTATCTATCTA